CTACAAGGCGCAGGGTGTAATTAGCATCTATGGTCAATGGTATTCTTAGAGGCTCTTTTTATGCTACAGTAACCGACTCGGTAATACTTGTTTCTGTGGCTCCCCATAACCGCGCGTCTAACCGTATTTCGCAGACTATAATTACTTGTTCCGGCGGCAAGGGTGACCAGCTTCGTGCTATTATAGAATATAAAGAGGAGGTAATTGAAATTTCGTCTATTCTGGCGAAACAAACTCACTATTTCACAGCCATGGCTGGGAGCTCCTAGGTTTTTGGTAGAAGGTGTTATTTACAAGTATACTCCTGGAGCAGAACAAGATGCATGGACCAAAGTCAAGCAAGTTCCGAAGGATCTTGTCGTCGCGACGTTTGATGGCTGTTGGCGCAAGACAATCAATTGGAAGAAGGCGGGTTCTGAGGTACGAGTCCATTATATTCCATTGCCCATAGATGCTAATTACACCCTGCGCCTTGTAGGAGTCTTTCCTTTTATTGGATCTTGCAACTCTTGCCGTCGTTCCCAAGAGTGTCCGCCCGCTATCTGAACAGCTTCCCAACGAATCTCGAAAATTGTGGGAAGGTGTGACGAGCAATTTGTTAAAGAAGGAATATTCGGAGGCAACACGTATTAAACACACAATTGAGCAAAAGCAAAGAGATATTGCTGCTGAACGACGAAGGACAAACAATCCATTCGTGCCTGTTTATTTCGATCCTGATATTTCTTCGGGTGCTCCTGTTCTCACCACAGAAGGACGCAAGGTTGTGGATGAGATGCTGAAGAGCCCTCAACAGGCGGCTACCACGACAGCTGAATAGAACCTATTCGGTCTTTACACTTCTGACATTACGCGATTAGAGGAAGGGTCATGATAAGATTAATGATCGTTACGAATACATAATGGACATGCAGTGCGTGTATGTCTTGCAAGATATATCAAATACAAAGGATATGCTATTTTACTATTCATGACCTATTTTCGATAACAAGACGTCTCAATTAGACCACCTGGCGACCCCACTGCGATAAGATCTATTCTCAGCCTGGTACAGAACGGGTGCGCAGCATGAATGTGAAGCTAGTCTATTATCTTCTTTTCTGAACGATCAAATCATATCTACAGATCAAATTTGTCTGTCTATCACACTGCAGTGCTATGATGGGTCTCGGAGATCTACAAGATCTGAACCTTAGGCCAAGTGTATTGAGGCCCAACCTGAAGGTGGTTTGAGTTTAAACCCCGCAAATTCTCATCTAATTTTACTTACTTCTCGCAAATTCATTGCCCCCATCTTCTGCCCAATTCGCACACATTCCTCCAAGGACTTTCCGAGGACTAGGCCACCCATGAAGCCTCCAGCAAATGCATCTCCAGCACCATTTGTATCCACAATTTCGTCATCTCGAAGCTTTTCGACGGGATAGGTGGCGGCTTCTTCTGGGTTCTTCG